GAGGAGGAGGAGGAGGAGGAGGAGGAGGAGGAGGAAAGTGAGGAGGAGGAGGGGGAGAAGGAGGAGGAGGAGGAGGAGAAGAGTCTCAGAGATTTCGTCTTTGCGGGTTTACTGGCGGGCCGCGGGTTTGTGGGGGCGCGGCGGCCCAGGGGAACGGCGCGATGGCGGTCGCCCTCGCGAGCGGCCAGGGCCTGAGGCTTCGCAGGCATCCTCTCGGGACTTGCAGCGGGGTGCTTGTCGATTTTACCGAGAAGGGAGGACGGGAGTCCGTACCCAGTCGCGTCGTTCTTTCCCGAACAGTTTGTGGTGTTGGGTCTTCCGTTTGAGGAGACAGCGCCCCAGATCATGTCACCTTACTCCAGCCCCTGTCCCCCCTCCCATCCTTGCCTCTGTCCTTCGCATGCACATGTCGGCACACGCCTCAGACTCTTCGTGGCTCCATAGGGAGCTCCACCGATGGCCCCAGATGCAGGGTCCGCATGTGGGCGTCACCACCGTTTCGGCACACCCCTCACACGTTCTGTGGCCCCACAGAGACGTCCACCTAAGGCCCAGTGGCAGGGTCCGCATGTGGGCGTCACTTCAGTTCCGGCGTACTCCTTACCCGTTTCGTGGTCCCAAAGGGAGTTCCAGTTGTGGCCCCAATGGCAGGGTCCGTCACCACCGTTTTGGCACACCGCTCACACGTTCCGTGCCCCAACAGGGAGCTCCATCTAAGTCCCCAGCGGCAGCGTCCGCATGTGGGCGTCACCACCGTTTTGGCACACCCCTCCAACGTTTCGTGGCCCCACGCGCAAGGCCCCTGTGGCAGGGTCCGCATGTGGGCTTGATTACCTTTCCGGCAAACCGCTCACACGATTTGTGGCACCATAGGGAGCTCCATCTGAGGTCCCCAGTAGCAGGGTCCGCATGCGGGCGTCACCACCGTTTCGGCACGCCCTTACACACGTTCCGTGGCTTCATAGGGAGCTCTACCTAAGGCCCAGTGGAAGGGTCCGCATGTGGGCGTCACCACCATTTTGGTACACCCCTCACCCGCTTCGTGGCCCCATAGGGAGCTCCAACGAAGTCCCCAGTGGCAGGGTTCGCATGTGGGCGTGACTTCTATTTCGGTAAACCGCTCACACGTGTGTTGCCCTATTGGGAGTTCCACCTGGGCTCCCCAGTTCCCCAGTGGCAGCGTCCGCATGTGTGCTTGACTACCTATACGGCACACCTCTCACACGTTTCGTGGCCCCATAAGGAGATGCACCTGAGGCCCCCAGTGGCAGGGTCCGCATGTGGGGCGTCACGCCTGTTTCGGCTCCCCCGCTTCGTGTCCCATAGGGAGCTTTACGTAAAGCCCCTCTGGCAGGGTCCGCGTGTGGGTGCCACCACCGGTTTTGCATACTCCTCACCCGCCTGTGGCCCCATACAGAGCTCCGGTCCGACGAAGTTCCCAGTGGCAGGGCCCCTGCGTGGGTGTAACCACCGTTCTGGCGCACCCCTCACCCGTTTCGTGGCCCCACAGGGGGGGGTTTTCTCCACAATGAGTCTACGTGCAGTCGGTCCATCCGTGGGCTAGTGACCTGCTTTTTAGCACAATCACCGCCGAGGATCGCGGCCCAAATAAGGGAGCTCCACCTAAGGCCCCAGAGGCAGGGTCCCGCAGCGGCATGTTGCGTCACAAACGTTACGGCCCACCCGCCACACGTGTCGTGGCTCTCATAAGGAGCTCCGACTGAAGGCCCCCCACCCCGACGTGGCCAGTAGTACGCAATTGTGGGCATCACGCCCTTCGGCACACCCCTTAATAGTTTCGTGGCCCAATCAGGGCAGAACCATCCCCATTCTACTACCCTCCTCCCTTCCTCAACCATACCTCCTCTCCCCCCCTCCTAGCTCTTCTCTACTCCTTCCTGCTTTTCATCAATCCACTCTTCCCTCCCACATTGCCCCTACTCACCTCCTCCTCCTCCTTCTCCCCTCCTCCTCCTCCTCCTCCTCCTCCTCCTCCTCCTTCCAATCTCTCTTCTCTTCCTCCTCCTCCTATTCCCTAACTCTTCTATTACTCCTCCTATAACAGCTCTCCTCCTCCTCCTCCTCCTCCTTCTCCTCCTCCTCCTCCTCCTCCTCCTCCTCCTCCTCCTCCTAAGGAATGAAACCAGCATGGTGCCTTTGCCCTAGCTGCTGTTTATAACAGCGCGTAGCGCTGTTCAAACCTTGGGAAGCCCCCGGGCCGCAGAAGACCCGAGCGCGAAGTGGGAAAAGGGCTGGTGGACCACAGGACTGAAGCGGAGCTAATGAGGACGGCTGTCAGCACCCAGGGGACCACCACCACCAGGAGGGGGAGGGAGGTCGTCAACGTCGTCGAAGTCCGTCCCGCCGCCCGCCAGGCCGCCGCCCGCCGGAGGGAAAGGGGAGGGAAGGGGGGGAGGACCCAGGTGAGCCCCAGGCGGAGAGACCGCGTCCCCGAAAACCCACCCGCCGAGGCCAGCGATCGCCTGCATGATGGCGATGCCGAGGCGGCACGCCATCACCTGCAGCTGAGCCTGACGTTGAATCGAGCCCCTGGCAGCCTTAGTGATCCACCCCGTTTTCGCCGTGCGGGGCTGGGCCCCCCACCAGGCCGGCGCGACCCGCAGATCCTCCCCGAGTTCGAGCCGACGCCCAGCAAAACGCGGACACTCGGCCCAGAAGTGCCGAGCCAACGCCTAGGTGTGCCCGCAACCGAACGTGCAAACGCACGCGCTGCCGTGCCTGCGGGTCGGCGTGCACGGCCCCGCCCCTCCAAACGGCGAGGAAGTTCGTCTCGTATCGACTCAGCGATCGCCGGAAGTGGGCCCAAGGCGGCGCGCTCTGAACAGCGATCGATCTCCCCGATCCCCTCTTCGTCGTGCCGCGGCGGGGGCCCAGGCGCCGCCCGGGGGCGAAGGAGCGCCGCCCGGGCGCACTCCCGGAGAACGTGCTGACCGCGATCGGTTGAGGCGTCAAAAGTCCTCCGGTGGGGGCGAGGGGTCCCAGGGTACCGGGTTCTCGCTTCGCGGCTGTCAGCGGCGGCTGCAGCGGCGACCGCCGCCGCGGCACGGGGGTCGAACCCCGGGGCCGGAAGCAGCCAGACGCCGTCGGGGAGCGACCCGGTGGCAACCGGGAGCAGCCCGAACACGCCAGAATGCTCCGAGAGCGCCACCGACAACAACCGCGACGCGGGAACCCCCCGAGCCGCCTTCAGCACAGCGCACGCCGCACCGAAGTCAGGGTGCAACGAAACACGCTCGGCGTACCATCGCCGAGCGCACCACCAGGTGCAGCGAGTCTGGACAAGAGACCGAAGCGTGAGCGCGATCAGATCACATGGCGGGATCGCGCAGAATGGAGCCGACCACCGATGTCTAGGAGCGATGCACATCAGGGCCGCGAGCTCCCTGATCCGCTGCCCGCCGGGGACCGTGCGGAGCTGGCGCACCTGGGAGCGGATCTGGTCCCACCCGTCCCGAGGCTCAGGCAGCTGGGGCCAGGTCGCGGCGTCGCCGACAGCGGCCCGCACTCCTAAGTGTTCGGCGCTCCGGGTGCCCGACCAAACCTGCCGCTTCCTAACGTTCTCCGAAAAGCCAAGACGCCGGTCGATGTCCGAAGTGATCGCGAAGGCACGGTCCCGATCAACCGCCGCGGCGGCCTTAATGGAACGGTCGTCCACGTAGGACCACGCGCGCGTCCTGGGCACCGAACGGACCGCGGCGTGCCAGGGGCATAGCACCAGACTAAGGATACGGCCCGAAGAAAGGTCGCCGGGCGGCAGGACCCGAGTATACTGCAGTGTAACGCAGCAGCAGTGTCCCCGGCCACCGAGCAATATCGGGGGGCCCGCCAGACCGCCTCCATGGTAGCCGCGACCGGAGCAGGCGCACCTTGGTGCCTGAGGGCGGCGCCTGCGACGCCGTGGTCCACCGAGTCGTGGGCCCAGCTCAGGTCGACCTCGGCTCCCGCGTCGCCAGGCGCGGCGGCCCAGTCAGCCACGGAGGCCACGGCGCCCCTCTCCCCGAACGCCTCGGCAGGGGGCGCGGGCGCGTCGAGGAGGCAACGGCCCCAAGCTCGCATCCAGACCGGCCCGATCGCGATCGGCCGACCCCCGCTTAGGGATGCCGACCACCCGCAAGGCCCCGAACGCCCGCGTGCGCTCATCTGGCCATGGGCTGGCGCCCCCTTCCACCGTGGCGACGAGTATGGCCCAGAGCTCGTGGAGGAGGCCAGGGAGGTGGTCCGAAAGGCCCTGCAGTTCAGAAGCCTCCCACCCGTCGAGCCCTGCCGCCCCGTGAGTGTCCAGGAGGGCCCGCTGGAAGGCCGCGAACCAGGCGGGGTTAGCGGGGATTTCGGGGACCCCCCACTCGCGGGCGACGACGACCCAATTCAGGGGGGCGCCTGCAGAGTCAGGCACCCACCATGGCTCCCACTCCCGCCGCATGTCCTCAGCCGAAAAGACTAAACAAAAAAGGACTGGCGCGGGCCCCGGGGTTCCCCGCATCCGTCCCGCGCTGGCCCGCGGCAGCAGTGCGGGGGCGCCACCCGGCTTAGAGAACTGAGGACCCGCCACGTCTGAGGAGCGCCATGATGGGTGCGACCACCCTTAGCTGCTCTGCAAACGCAGCGCCAGGGGACAGACTTGGGGCACCCTCGCCGAGGAGTGCCGGGGGGGGGCTCCTGCTCACCTCTCCTCACCCTTCTCCCTCCTCCTCCCTCCTCCTCCCCCCTCCTCCTCCCTCCTCACTCTGCTCCTCCCCCTCCTGCTCCTTCTCTCCTCCTCCTGCTCTCCCCCTCCCTCCTCTCCTCTCCTCCCTCCTCTACCTCCTCCCTCCTCCTCCTCCTCTCCTCCCCCTCTCCTTGCAGTCGGTCCTCGGGCGGCGGGGCGCGCCCGGGTCGTGCGGCCGCCGCCCCGTGCATCGTTCGCATCTTGCGCACGGGCTGCCATCCTCCTCCGCTGCGGCCCGCTCTCCCCTCCCTGCCCCCTCCCCAGACTCGACGAAGGAAAAACGCCACAATCATAAACATTTTGGCGCTCCGCGCGGATTTTTTGGATCCGCGCCCCCCTGGCGGCGCCTCCGGCGCCGCTCCTTGGCGCGCCCCGCGCGCCAGGGAGGATGGCCCAGCGCAGATCCAAGAAATCCGCGCGGAACGCCAACAGTTTATGATTGTGGCGTCCTTCTTTCTTCCACAGACACGATCGCGATGCGACAGAATCAGGACGGCAGGTGTTTGGCCGTCTTGGGCCTCTGGGGGCCCTCGCCGGGCCCCTGGAGGCCGTCCACCGCTGACTCGCGCCGTGAGAGGCCTGGCCATCGCAGGCCCGGGTGCCCCTCCCGTGCCCCATCTCCCGCGGCCGTGCCCGCGTGCGCCCGCTCTGCCTCGAGAGCCGCCCCCCCGCCCTCTGCCTGCCCCGCCCGTCGTCCCCTGTGCCCTCCCCTTCGCCTCGCGTCCCCCTGTCGTCGTCGATGCTGGGCCACGCTTGAGTCGGGCGTGTCCCTCTAGAGGAGGAGCATCCCCAAATAACCCAATCCTGGTCTGGGGAGGATTTCTCTGAGTCTGTTTGACCATTGTCGAGACTGGTTCGCCGATTTGCTGTTTTTCCTCCAAGATCCGCCCGTAGGGGGACACGCCCGACCGAACCCTACCCCTCGTTCGCCTCGCGCCCTCCTCTTGTCGTCGATGCCGGGCCGCGCCAGACCAGCGGAGAGGCGGCCCTGCGCCGACGCCCGGGCAGCGCGCTCCGCAGCAGGGGCCGGCTGCGACGAGCAAGCAGGCCCGCGACTGCAGAGTTGGGCCCTGCGTCGGCCAGGCCACGCGCAGGTCTCCCGGAGCGAGGACGCGACGCTTGGGACCTCCGACCTGGTCGTCTCCCGATCTTCATCAGCAGCACCATCGTCTCCCATCTCCCCCTCCCCAATTCTCTCCATGCCCCTCACTTCCTTTCATTCTTCTTCATCGTCTTCCCCCTCTTCCCCGTGCTGATTGTCCGCCTTCTCTCCTTCTTCCTCCTCGTCATCCTGCATCCTCCAGCCCCTCCCCGAGATGCTGTCTTCCGTCCTCTCCCTTTGTTTCTGTATTTTATATCTGCCGTCATCATGCTCGCCTTCTCCCTCCTCCTTCTCCTCCTCCTCCTCCTCCTCCTCCTCCTCCTCCTCCTCCCTCATTGTTGTCCCCGTCCTCCTCCGCCTCATTTGCCCTCCGTCTCCGTACTCATCATCTTTCTCCCCGTCCTCCCGCTCCTCCCGATGATCATTACCGCTCCCTTCCCCTTTCCCCCCGCCCCTTCTCACCCTTCCCCTCTCTCCTCCTCCTCGCCACCACCTTCTCGTCCACATCCTCCTCCTCCTCCTCCTCCTCCTCCTCCTCCTCCTCTTCCTCCTCCTCCTCCTCCTCCTCTCTTCTCCTCCTTTCAGCTCTTCGCCCTCCCCACATCCCTCCCCTTCCTCTTCCTCTCCACCGTCATCGCCATCATTACCATAATCTCCGTCATTCATCCCCCTCCCCCTCCCGCTGCTCTAGCCCTCGCCATCGTCCACGCAATCCCTGCCTGCTGCTGCGACTCGAACCGAGCCTCCCCGCTGCCTCCCCGCGTCCCCCCCGTCCCCCTGCTGCTGGCGACGCCCCCCTCGCCCAACGTCACCGGGCGCCTCGCGAAGGCCTCCGAGAGGCACAAAGGAGGACCAGAGAAGCCCCGAGTGGCCTCGATCCTCCTCGTCGCTCCCCCCTCATCCCCCTCCCGCTCCTCCCCTTCCTCCTCCTACTCCTCCCTGTTCCTCCCCATCCTCCTGCCGCTGTTCCTCCCTCTCCTCCATCTCCCTCCCTCTCTCGTCATCCTCCCCCTCCTCCTCCTCTACTCTTCCACTTACTCTTCCCCTTCCTCCTCCTCCTCCTCCTCCTCCTTCTCCTCCTCTTTCTATTCCTCCTCCTCTTCTTCCTCCTCCTCCTTCTCCTCCTCCTGTTCCTCCTCCTCTTCCTCCTCCTCCTCCTCGCCCCCCCTTGATTTGGGGCGGCGGGGGGGGGGAGGGGGGGCGACGCATCTTTACCGCCCCCCCTCGGTTTGGGGGGGAGCTCGGTCGGGAAATTTTAGCTTAGCGTGTCGCTCAGCACGTTCTGGCCCACCGCGCCCCGGTGCGACACGCTATCCACTTCGCGGTCCCGAGGCATCCACGTGCTGAGCTTTTCCCAGCTCCCAGCACCGCGAAGCGGAGTGACACGCTGTCCGCTCGCAATCCATAGCGTGTCGCTGGGGCCGCCGCCGCAACACGCCAAGCAAGCGTTCCCGACCGTATGAGGCTCCTCGCGCTCGTGCTGGCCGGCGTCTCGTGGCTCATGGCCGTCCAGTGGCTCCAGGCCGGCGGCCCCGCCGTGGGGGGGGGGCGTACGCGGGTGGAGGATCGAGGACGAGGAGGAGGACGGTAGGAGGGGGAGAAAGGGGAGGAGGAGGAGGAGGAGGAGGAGGAGGAGGAGAGGAAGGAGGAGGAGGATGAGGAGGAGAAGCAGCGGGACGAGGAGGAAGAGGAGGAGGAGGCGGACGAGGACGAGGACGAGGACGAGGACGAGGACGAGGACGAAGACGAGCACGAGGAGGAGGCGGAAGACGAGGACGAGGACGAGGACGATGAGGAGGAGGAAGAGGAGGAGGAGGAGGAGGAGAAGGAGGAGGAGGAGGAGGGGGAGGAGGAGGAGGAGGAGGAGGATGAGGAGGAGGAAGGAGGAGATGGAGAGGGAGGTAGAAGTGGAGGAGGAGGAGGAGGAGGCAGAGGAGGAGGGAGATGAGGAGGAGGAGGAGGAGGAGGGAGAGAGTGGGGGCGGGCTGCTCGCCGCCCGACTGCGCACCACTGCGAGACGCAACATCTTCGAGTTTGCCCGCTCGCTGTGCCGCTCGCCGCCATTCGAGGACCTGGGAGCTAGGCCTAAGGCAGCGTACGTAACTACTGGGTCGGGTCGACCAGTGCACTGCCTTCCTTCTGGGACTGTGCTACTCCTCCTTTTCCTCCTTTTCCTCCTCCTCCCCCTCCTCCTCCTTTTCCTCCTTCTCCTCCTCCCCTTCCCCCGCCTCCTCCTCCTGTCTGCCAGGTTGCCGGGCGCTGCTCTACAAGAGCCGGCGCACGAAATCACAATCATCACATGTTCCATCCCGTTCCGCTCCATTCCGTTCCTCCTTCTTCCTCTTCCTCCTCCTCCTCCTTATCCTCCTCGTCCTCCTCCTCCTCTTCCTCCCCTTGCTTTTCGTCGTCCCGCCTCCCCCCTCCCCATCCCGCCCGCAGCCGCCCCCTGAGGCGCCCCGGGTCGAGTGCTTCGCACCGCTCGCAGGGGCGACGCTGAAGGTCGGGGGGGGGGCGGCCGAATTCCACCCCAACCCACCCGCGGGGAGGAACAGGAGGGCGTGTTGTGTTGTTGTTCGTCGTCGTCATCGTCGTCGCCGTCGTCGTCGGAGCAGGAGCAGGAGGAGGAGGAGGAGGAGGAGGAGGAGGAGGAGGAGATGGAGGAGGCCGAGGAGGAGGAGGAAGATGAGGAGGAGGTGGAGGCGGAGGCGGAGGCGGAGGCGGAGGTGGAGGAGGAGGAGGAGGAGGAAGAGGAGGAGGAGGAGGAATAGGAGGAGGAGGAGGATGAGGAGGAGGAGGGGCAGGAGGAGGAGGAGGAGGAGGAGGAGGAGGTGGTCGAGGAAAGGGAGGAGGAGGAAGAGGAGGAGGGGGGGGGTGGAGCAGAGAGGCTCGTTGCCCGTCGGTGGGGCGGGGGAGGGAACGCTCGCTGGAGGAGGGGGGGGGAAGCAGGGGAGGAGCAAGGGAGGAGGAGGATAAGGAGGCGGAGGTGGGCCAGTGTGAACCCAAACCGCGTCAACGATGATGCATACATTCACCGTCCATGTTCTTCCTTCATAAGCCCCTACAACAATGTATTTTCGTTGCGGGCCATGCCCCATTGGAAAACAACCACGTGAGAATCTCCTGTCGTGCCAAAACACCGCCCCTGGGACCTCAGCGCCGCGAATCAAGGTGATTGTTGCGTCGTGACAATCAGAAGTCGTGCCAGAACGCTTCCCCTGGGGGTTCAACACCGCGGGTCAACGTGAATGTTGCGTTCTGACGACAAGTCTAAGCCGTGCCAAACGACCATTCCCAGGATTCCAATCATATGAATCCCTGAATTTGATTCGAAATCTCAGGGGGGAACGTGCTCGGCGCTAGGGCGAGAGCCACATTTTGAAGAGTAGCTATCCTCCGTCATTGAAACCCTTGCGAAGGACGAGAGCCACAGTTTGAAGAGTAGCCATCTTCCGTCATGGAAGCCCTTGCGAAATTTAAGTCGAATGTGCACGGCGCTCAGGCGAGGACCACAAGTTGAAAACGGCTGCCAAGCTTCAAGACGAATTCGCGCGGCGCTCAGGCGAGAGCAACATATTGGCCAGCCCTCCGTCCTCGAAGCTGCTACGAGCTTTTAAGACGAGTCCGCGCGGCGCTTGGGCGACATCCACATTTTGAAACGCAGCCACCCTCAGTTATCGAATACATACTGCGAACTGTAAGGCGAATGTGCGCGGCCCCTCAGGCAAGAGCCACATGTTGAAAACGGCCGTCCCCTCATCCGCGAATCTGCTGCAAATTTCAAGCTGCAGGATCATAACTGGTGGGGCAGTTTCAGACGGAACGCCCGCCCCGCCCTTACCCACACGCCTGGGGGTGCGACAGGAGCGAGTTGCTTAGAAGGAACAAGGATGGCAGTAACAAGGGGGGAGTACGATGAGAAACAGAGGGGGCGGGGGAGGAGGATGAGGATGAGGAGGAGGAGGAGGAGAGGAAGGAGGAGGTGCAGCAGCATGATGATGATGATGATGATGATGATGATGATGATGATGATGATGATGATGATGATACCGATGATGATGACGATGATGATGATGATGCTGATGCTGACGCTGATGACGATGACGATGACGATGACGATGACGATGACGATGACGATGACGGTGACGATGACGATGACGATGACGGTGATGCTGCTGCTGATGATGATGATGATGATGGTGGTGGTGGTGGTGGTAGTGGTGATGATGATGATGATGATGATGATGATGATGATGATGATGGTGGTGGTGGTGTGTGTGATGATGATGATGATGATGATGATGATGATGATGATGATGATGATGATGATGTGAGGAGGAGGATGGAGGAGGAGAGGAGGAGGAGGAGGAGGAGGAGGAGAGGAGGAGGAGGGGGAGAGGGAAAGGGATGGGGGAGTAGGGGAGCAAGAGGCAGGAGGGAAGGAGGGGGACAAGAGGAGGAGGAGGAGGCGGAGGAAGGAGAGGAGGAGGAGGAGGAGGAGGAGGAGGAGGAGGAGGGGGAGGGGAAGGGGGGAAGGGAGAGGACGAGGAGGAGGAGGAGGAGGAGGAATGAGGAGAAGAAGAAGACGAAGAGGAAGAAGAGGAGGAGGAGCATGGGAGAAGGGGCAGGAGGAAGAGCGGGGGTCACAGAGGAGGAGCAGGAGAGGACCAGCAGGGGCAGACGAGGAGACGGAGGAGAAGGAGGAGGAGGAGGAGGAGGAGGAGGAGGAGCTACTGCACCCTTCACACGCTTTGGCTGGCGCCCGGACCCATGAGATGCTTCTCGGCCCAGGCAGCGGTGGGGACGCCAGGGAAAAAAAACCCTCACGCCCTTACACAGTCCGAGCTCGGCCCGGCGCCGCTCGAGACGGCAGCCCCTCTCTGGCCGGCGCCTCCCCCTCCCTCCGTGGGGGCAGCAGCGAGCTCGGGAGCCACGGGCACTTCGGACGGGGAGGTCGTGGAATTCTTGCCGTCCCCGGCGGCACGCAAGAATCGCTCCTCCTCCTCCTCCTCCTCCTCCTCCTCCTCCTCCTTCTAAGCCTCCTCATCCTGAAGCTCTATGGGCGCACTCCTCCTCCTCCTCCTCCTCCTCCTCCTCCTCCTCCTCCTCCTCCTCCTCCTCCTCCTGCAGCTTGGCGCATCTTCGGGCACCGGCGTGCCCGGGGAGGGGTCCTGGAGCGGCTGCGAATGCGCTCCCGAAGCCTCGCAGTCGCCGCAGGGCACCTGCTACGCGGACGCGATCGCTTCCTCGGCGACCTATTGGCTTGGCATCGCTCGGACGAGGACCGTCGGCGAGGACCGTCGAGGAGCATCCTTGATCACTTGGCGACAAATCCACACACGAAACCGAAAAAACACAGGGAATGGACGTCAGAGCGATGGACAGTTGGTTCATTGCTGCCTGGATGATCCGAGGGGGACCCGATTGTGACGGGTCAAGACGCCGTTGGGTCCTGGCGAGATTCTCCAGGCCTTTGGGCGACGGGTGGGTGGTGCGCTTCTCCCCCGCAAGCTCTGAGAGTGGACAGGGGCCTCCTGGTTTGGCAGCGTTCAGAGTAGGAGTGCGGCCACAGTGTGCACAGACATGGAGCCTCCAGTGGGGGACCGTTCGCCCGAGAACTCGCGCAGCTCAGGCTGTGGCTCACACTCCGACTGCGCTGCCTGCAAGATCTGACCTGCGTCGACCAGCCTCTCGCATGGCACGCAACGCCACTTGTGAGCACAACGAACAAGCGTGGAGCCCACAACCTGGATCGCGGAGCGCCAGAGAAGCCTTCCAGGGCCTCCGGCAGGAGCTCTCTGGCCTCTTGGAAGGAGCTTCTGAAGGAGCTTCGGGAAAGCTTGGGGGCACACGTGCTGGGAAACAGCTGAAGCATGCCTTCCCGGACAAGCTGCAAGATCACACAGCCTGCTGCCTGCCGGAAGCCGGGACGAGCTCCGGGGCTGCCATGCGGTGCATGCCACGCAGCGCCATTTGTGTGTACAACGAACACTCGTGTGAGCCGAGCTGTCCAGGGCAGCCTGGAGCCTGGAGGAGGGCAACGCGGGCCGTCCTTGATAAGGCCAAATGCCGAGGCGGTCGGGGCCTTTCCCAAAAGAGCGAAGGACAGCTCTAGCTCGTTTCCAAACCAGTTCGGCAATAGCATCATATAGTCGGGCCGAGATGCAAGAACGAGGTCGGTTCGGGGAGGGTGCTCTGGTGTTCTTCTTCTCGTTTGTTGGTTGTTCTTGTGCATCCTATGGGAGGGCACCCTCGAATGTTCCTCAGTTTGGACTGGCGGAGGGTCTCATGTTCTTGAGTGGTGGTCTTCTGTCCCAGGCCCGACTGCATTCCCAAGTTCGGGGGAACGCAGCAGCCTACCTGGCCTGCCGACTACCTTCCGCGAGAAACAAATCATGCCCTGAAAGATACCCCACAGACTGGCGCGAGGGGATCCAACCGATATTGGCTAGATCGGCGCCTCCTTCTCTGGTCGCCAGCTTCTATCTGACGGCTGACCAGAGGTCACCATTCTTTTTTTGTAAGTTGCCTGCGCCAGCTCGGAAACCCTTTCCTGCCTGCCGTCCACGCAGCACGGCCAGGTGGTCGGTGGCAAAAGTGCGTTGGCCCTGGGCCGCCAGCGCACGGCGCCAGCCCCCCACCCCGCGACACCCCCGCCCTCCCTTCGCTCGGGTGTCGCTGGAAGTGGGCACGGCCCACTGTGCTCCCAGCTCGGCGCGCCGCTCGGAACTCCCCGGGGCCCTCCGAGCCTCGTGAGGGGGGTGCTTCACAGGCCACCTGGGCCTTCCAGAGGTCCTGGGGGCGCCGTGGTCCAGAAGGAGGAGGGAGGAGGACGAGGGGGAGGAGGAGGAGGAGGAGGAGGAGGAGGAGGAGGAGGAGAACCAGTGTAAACCCAAGAGTCATCGACGATGTTTGAATGAACCCTCCCTCCAAGCTCCCTCCTCATAGGCCCCTACAACGGTTCATTTCCATTGACGGAACTGCGTCGTTGGAAGACAACCGTCTGAAGACCCGGAAGCGTGCTAAAGCATGGTTCTCGGGATTTCAACGCCACGGATCAACCTGCTTGCTGCGTCTTGACGATCTGGTACGTTGTTCATGGGAGTACGTGAAACTATTCCAGATGTAAAAACGAATGTGCGCGGAGCTCAGGCGAGAGCCACATTTTGAAAACCACCCGCCTCAACCCGTGAAACTCTTGCAAATCTTTGAAACACATGTGCGCGGAGGTAAGGCGAGAGCCACATTTTGAAAACGATCCGCCGTCAATCCGTGATTGTTTTGCAGATGTTTCAAACAAATGTGCGCGGCGCTAAGGCGAGAGCCACATTTTGGAAACGATCCGTTTTCAATCCGTGAAACCCTTGCAAATGTTTGAAACGAATGTGCGCGGAGGTAAGGCGAGAGCCGCATTTTGAAAACGATCCGCCCTCAATCCGTGAAGCTCTTGCAAATGTTTGAAACGAATGTGCGCGGTGTTATGGCGAGAGCCACATTTTGAAAACGATCCGCCGTCAATCCGTGAAACTCTTGCAAATATTTAAAACAAAGGTGCGCGGCGCTAAGGCGAGAGCCACATTTTGAAAGCCACCTGCCCTCCATCTGAGAACTTGTTGCCATGTTGTAAGTTTCAGAGTCATCAATGGTGAGGAAGTCTCAGGCGAAACGCCCGGCCGGCATTAAAGAATGGCCTCGGGCTGCGACCGGGAGAAGTTATTTATAAAGAAAAGAACGGAGGAGGAGGAGGAGGAGGAGGAGGAGGAGGAGGAGGAGGAGGAGGAGGGGGGCGCTTTGGGGTCCAGACATCCCGGGGGCGCCCTGGGCGAGGGGCACTCTTGGCAGCGCCCGACCGTGCGCCTCCCGGGAGAGCCGGATGGGAGGGACGCCTCCGGGGCGCTGCCCACCGCGCGCCGCCGCCGGAGCGCGGCAGCGGCCCATGCGCCGTGAAGCCGGCGGGTGTCGAGGGAGGCGGGTCCTGAGGTGAATCCTTGGCATCGCTCGGACGTGCGCATTTTTTCTTCGGCGAGGACCATCGAGGAGCATCCTTTATCGTTTGGCGAAAAACCCACGCACGAGACCGAAAAAACACACAGGGAATGGACGTCCGAGCGATGGCCAGAATCAGCCACGCGCAGAGGGGGGTGGGGGGAGGGGGAAGGGCCTCTTAGAAGCACCCCTGCTTCTCAGAAGGCACGGGGCTGATCTATAGATGCAAGTCCGGCGCCTTCTAAGAAGCAGCCTCCTTCCTAAGAAGCCCTCCCCCCTCCCTCCACCCCCTTGTGCGCGCCGCCAAGGGAGGTCGGGCGTGGCCCTCGACAGAAGGAATTATCAAAGACAGCAGAAAAATAAGACGTCTGGAGGCGATACTTCGAATCTGTTTGGCTATTCTTGCAGATGTTTTGATCATGTTCATTTCCCTCCACAGGCCGCCTGTAGGAGGACATGCCCGACCCAGTCCTGAGAACTTCGGCCGACTTCAGGCTCCCAGGGCCCTCCAGGGGCCCCAGGGTTCTGGGCCTCCTAGATGGGGTCGGAGTAGATGGGGTCGGAACATCGCGCCGCATTGCCGATGCGGCTCGATGCGGAGCCCGCGATTTGCTTCACGTCGACGTCGCCGAGGCATCGCCCACGTCGACGATGCATCGCCAGTGCCTCGCCGATGCATCCGATCCCTCGCCGATGCATCGGCGATGCATCGGCGGTGCGGCGAGATTCTCCGACCCCGGTCTTGGGGAGAGCCCCAGCCTCGCCATCCCTGGCGTGGCACGTTCTTGTTCGACGCCGGGCGCTGCCGCCCGGTTTCGGGCCCCGGGGCAGTGACGTGTCGATCCCTCGAGCCCTGCAGCAGAAAGATGGGGTCGGGGTCTCCCGCCGTGCACGTCGCGATGCTGCATGTTGTTCCGCAGCGTCGGCTCTCAGGGAGGATCTCGGATCCGTTTCTACGATGGCCCGTCTGCTTCATGCCCTCCCCCATGCCGGGAGGCTCACTCCCAGGGGCCTCCCAGGGGTCGATGCGCGATATCCGACCCCGAGCCAAGCCTCCAGGTCGGTTTGGGAGGTCGCCGCGGCGATCGCGGCGGCCACACATCGGTGCAAGTCTTGTTGCTAAGGAGTGGCATGAATAAGCACGCACCATTCAGCGGTTCCCTTGCACGTTTCACCTGTCCTTCAACTGCTCTATCTTAGTTTCGATAGTTTGCATTTCTTCTTTTTTGAAGGCTCCAGCTTTGTGTACTTCAGATTCACCTTGGCGCTCTGCGCGGACTTCTTGGATCCGCGCTGGACCCCCCGGGCCCCGGATCCAAGAAATCCGCGCGGAGCGCCAAAAGTTTATGTTTACGTGGTTCTTTGTTCTTCTTCTTCGGTTTGGACGTCCTGTTTTCCTGCGACGGTCCTGTCTTCCTCTGGTGAGGGGCCGATCCTCGCGCAGCTGTCCCCGTCGCAGCGGCACCGCGCGGCTCTGCCCGCCCGGCGTCGCCGGCGTGTGGCGCCCCCCCGCCCCCCCCCAGTCGAGGCGAGGCGGAGGCACAACGAGGAAGAACGAAGCAGGAAAACAGAGCGACAACGAGGAAGAACGAAGAACACATTAGCCTGGCGAAGGACCCAACCATAATTATGCAGTTGTGAGCACCGTCGTTGTGTGCATCGCATTCTGAGGAGCTCCCTATAGGGCCCCGAAACGTGTGCGGGGTGTGCCACAATTTGTCCGGCGGGCGCGTGCGAAAACAGCCACTGGGGCCGTCGGTGGAATTCCCAAATGGGGCACGAAAACAGAACGACAGCGAGGAAGAACGAGCAACAAAAAAAGAGAGAACGAACAAAAACATCGCGTTTAGGTTCAGCCCTGATCACCTCCCTGCCCCCCACTGTCGGGGGCAACGAAAGGGGGG